GTTTTTTGTATAGAGATTTGTTTCTTATCACGATGCTCATCTGTTTGATAACATGAATATCCTTTGTGTATGAGTTCTTCTCATATGCTTTTGCTTTCTCATACGTTGAATAATACATCCTGATTTGGCACCCTAGGGTTGTCTCCTCTCCATAACTGCTTCTTCGAGTTATACTGTCACATCAATTACCCTTTTGCTCACCTCGATTTTGTATGGATAATCATAGTCTTTGCTTGTGAAATTCTATGCGATGGAGATCGAAAATGGATCGAATGAATTTAAATTTAATAATTGAATTTTATTATTTATTTTAATATTATTTTATAAGTTAATAAATATTTGTTTGACTAGGAATAATAATTAGAATTTGATTAGGAAATTGTTATAGAGTTTTAGTGGGATAGAGATTTGAGAGTTTGATTATGAAATTCTTTTAGTATTTTAGTAGAAAAGTAATTTTTATTTTAATAGGGGACTGGCCTATAAATAATTGTGTAATCTCAACTATTTTTAATTAGAGATAGTGATATAATAAAAAGTGATTCTCCGTGGAGAATTTATGTGTTTCTTCACCGATTCCTTGTGAGGATGAGATAAACTCCTTTCACCCCTCTTCTTTCTTCTTCTCTTTCTATTTTATGATTTTTGGTCCCTCCCGTTCTACATCAATTTAGTATCAGAGTCCAATTTCAATCATTCTCGATTATCGTTGTGTTTTTAAGACTTGTATAACATCTTGTGTTTCAGCCCTTTGTTTTAGTTCTAACCCTGCTGCCTACCCAAAAAAAAAATTCAGCTGCGTAACCTTGAGATTTTTGAAATTATAGATTTGACTCCTAAAATTTTTAAAATTATACTTTCATCCCCCCAAAAGTTTTAGAAATTACACCTTGGCCCCAAAAAATTTTGAAATTACAATTTTGCCACAGAATTTTCTAAAATTATAGATTGAGCCCTGAATTTCCCCAAAAAAAAATTCTTTAATTATATTTCAATCAAGATGGTGACCAATGCCGAGTTAAGTGCTAGAGTTGGAGCACATGATTCGCGATTAGATTCACTCCAAGGATCAGTGGATTCACTACAAGTATCAATGGATTCACTTCACACATCAATAGAATATATACATGAAAGTGTACACAAGTTGACTGCTATGTTTGGAGTTAAGCTCCCAAATAAGGATCTTGCGAAGAAGGTATATTTTAATTCATCTTCTTCATCCATTGATCATTAAAAAATAGTTGAACAAGCTTTGCCCCAAGAAGTTCTTCCACAACTGTAAGTTCCANTTCTTCATCCATTGATCATTAAAAAATAGTTGAACAAGCTTTGCCCCAAGAAGTTCATCCACAACTGTAAGTTCCAGTTCAATTGAATGATGAGCTAAAATCAGATATCGTTGATGAGCCTAAAAGTTCTCCTCATTATACATCAATTGCTTTTGATAAGCTAATCTCAAAGGATGTTCTTACAAAAGAAGTTAAAGGAGTTTCAAAAGGCGCCACTACAAATGGAGTTGTTATTTTGTCTCCACTGAATTATATGCTTCCTTCACTTATAATAGTGTCTGTGCATTAGGCTATGATGGATGCAATACACGAACGGATTACTTTCTACTATAGAGATCTACAATGATATTTTCTTGGAACACAAGCTTCTTCAAATTTTTTTGGAGTACTCGTGGCCTTCCAACTCTTCGGATAAAAGGTTTTTTAAGCCGGGGAGAATTGATAAAGATCGAAAAGGGATTGGATAAACTTAAATTTAATAATTAAATTTTATTATTTATTTTAATATTATTTTATTAGTTAAGGAATATTTGTTTGACTAGGAGTAGTAATTATAATTTGATTAGGAAATTGTTATAGAGTTTTTAGTATGATAGAGATTTGAGAGTTTGATTATAAAACTCTTTTAGTATTTTAATAAGAAGGTAGCTTTTATTTTAGTAGGGGACGTGTCTTATAAGTAATGGTATAATCCCAACTATTTTTAATTAGAGAAAGTGATATAATAAAAAGTAGTTCTTCGTAGAAAATTTATGTGTTTCTTCATCGATTCCTTGCGAGAATGAGGTAAACCTCTTTCATCCCCTCTTATTTTTTCTTCTCTTTTTATTCTGAGATATCTAGTCCTTCTCATTCTACATCAGTTTAGTATCAGAGCTCAACTTAAAAATAGTTGGAATTACATCATTATTTATAAGTCAAGTCCCCTACTAAAATAAAAACTNTTGCGAGAATGAGGTAAACCTCTTTCATCCCCTCTTATTTTTTCTTCTCTTTTTATTCGGTGATATCTAGTCCTTCTCATTCTATATCAGTTTAGTATCAGAGCCCAACTTAAAAATAGTTGAAATTACATCATTATTTATAAGTCAAGTCCCCTACTAAAATAAAAACTATTTTCTAAAAGAGTTTTATAATCAAACTCTCAAATTTCTATCCTACTAAAACTTTATAATAATTTCTTAATCAAATTTTAATTACTATTTCTAGTCAAACAAATATTTCTTAACTAATAAAATAATATTAAAATAAATAATAAAATTCAATTATTAAATTTAAGTTCATCCAATTCTTCTNTTAATTACTATTTCTAGTCAAACAAATATTTCTTAACTAATAAAATAATATTAAAACAAATAATAAAATTCAATTATTAAATTTAAGTTCATCCAATTCTTCTTTGATCTCTATCATCATGACCATCAACACGGGGCTAGATGTCCTTGCTGATGTGAAACTAGGAGGATCTAAGGTTGATGATGCATTCAAGGTTCCAATAAAAAGAGTTACTTCTGTTGTGTCATCACTGTATGAAGAGAAGTCTCCATCTTTAGAAAATTGAGATAATTGAAATAACTAGCAATATCACGACTCGAACAAAACACCATACAATTCGGTTGGTACTGTAGTTTCCATGCTTTTCTGTTTGTCCATAGGAAATACTAGCAGCACTCTCTAGTTAATTTTTGTTATATTTGATGTACATGAGACATACTTGAAAGAAAACAGTCAAAAAGTGAGAGGTTGTGCATAAGACCGGAAATATTAAGCTGAAATCAGGGCAGTCGTTGGTTTAAAACCAACTGGAAGACAAGCAATGACATAGAATGTGACCTTATGCTTAAATCTTCGTAAGACCAAAGCTCTTTCTTCTCCCCAGTGGCAAAATGATAGGATTATCTTCTTCATGGGTTTAATCCCACTGCCTCTGTTGGTGACACCTATGTTATCTTCTTTGTTTCCTTCATCTTCGCCTCCCCAGTGAAGTGGATAGCTCCTTAAAAAAACCCTTCTGGTACTGTAGTCTTCATAGCGAAAGCTCCTTGATTTCATCCCATCTTCCTCCATATTCATACCTTTCAAAAGGCACAAGGAATTGTTGAAGAAAGCTCTAATACTTATAGTTGTTGGGGGGACATAAAAAAATCAGTGTTTGTACAGAGTGCGTCTCTGTTTTTGAGGGAGAGAGAGAAAGATTGTCCTTTCTGGAGTTCCTTGACCTTATTACTTATTTACTAATTGGAGAAAATATATAGTAATTATTACCTTCCGGAAAATATAATAATTATTTATTTTATGCATAACCTATGCGTTCATACTTTGGCAGCACATCAATTTTTTAAGTCTACACCAATGTTTTTGGGGGACTTAATTTTTTATCTTTAGTAAGCTTAGAAGTTAACATAAGAATTTTGTTGCTATATAGGCCTTCGTCTATGTCCACAATAAGAACCATATTTTAAAAAAAAAAAAATTATCTCCTCCTATACCACTATGATAATATTATGGAATATGCTCCTTATTTTCTCCTCGCAAAACTAAAAAGGGGGTATTCTTTTTTCAACCTAAATAAACCCAAACTTCGAACAAACACTTGTTCTTATATGCGTCCAGTGCGTTGGCTTAAACCCATTTACTTGTAGATAAATAATTAAAAATCTTAAAGCAATGTAGAAAAAGAAAACCNTGATAATATTATGGAATATGCTCCTTATTTTCTCCTCGCAAAACTAAAAAGGGGGTGTTCTTTTTTCAACCTAAATAAACCCAAACTTCGAACAAACACTTGTTCTTATATGCGTACAGTGCGTTGGCTTAAACCCATTTACTTGTAGATAAATAATTAAAAATCTTAAAGCAATATAGAAAAAGAAAATCATAGAAGTCAAGACAACAAGAAATTGAGAGCAATAAATGAAGACAAAATTTGCAGTTTGCCGTTGAGGGACGGTACATGAAAACATGTATAAAATGTTGTCAATTCCTATGCTCTTTGTACAAAGAACAGCAGTGGCACGTTGAAGTCGATGAAACTTTACAGAACGATGATTACTAAGGATATTGATAAGCCTTGACATATATAAATTTATAAAAAATTTATTCATTATGAATTTTTTAATCCTTGTCTTTGACCAAAATAAAATAGAATTAATTGAGATATACGTTGATTCGGAGTAATAAAAAAAAAAAAAAGAGGNTATAAAAAATTTATTCATTATGAATTTTTTAATCCTTGTCTTTGACCAAAATAAAAGAGAATTAATTGAGATATACGTTGATTCGGAGTAATAAAAAAAAAAAAAGACGACAGATTGAGACTTGGCAATCCAATACTTAGGATGTAAGAGAGGTTTCATATTAGATGACATTACCCCATGATTGTTTTCGAAAACAGAATCAAATTGCTAGTCTACGGATATGAAAAACATGAATTGCCAGTCACAAAATTGGTTGATTGGGAAAGAATCAGGTGACTGTATGGTATGGGCGTGGATTTAAATTCTTTCTAATATATATTTTTTAGTTTTTTCAATACTAGATCATCTCTTATGAAATCAATTTAAGGCCGCTATGTATAATTGGATATCCCACAAATACATAATGGGTAATCAACTATTGTGAGAAATCGAGGGGAATTGAATTGGATGATATCTGGCTATATATATGCATAAAATGTTATTTGGATCTAATCTAAGGACCTAATGATATATAACTAGTGGATTAATTGTGAAATCTATCTAACATTAGAACTCACAACTAATCAATAGTTACATTGAAGTCATATCATTAACTTCTCAGATTAAATCCCCAAACAAGATTCTTATAACATTGCTCTCTCTCTCCGTGTATATATATATATATATAAACATACACACGGTTGCCTAGAAAATCAATCCAATCATGAGTAAACTAATAATTTGTCATCTTGATATTTGATTTTGAATTATAATTGAGGATATTCCTTGCAGTAATAAAAAGATAGTTTCATTTTAATTTGAGCATTAAGTTTTTTTTTTTTTGCACGGGAATAAGACTACGCGCATCTCATCATCTTCAAGCATATAAAAATTTCATGCACCACTGTGTATTTTTTTAATAATATTTGCTCATTTTAGGTGGGTTGCTTAATTGGATAATGAGATGAAACGTAGAATTACAAATAGTTTTTCTGTTCTCCACAGGAGCAATGAGGAGGTGAACCAATACAGGTTGCTGCTAGTGAGAGGACTGGCTCAAATAAGGGCGTGCTAAGAAAATGCTTCACCTCTTACCTAGAATTTGTGAGATAAATATGACAAAACAATGACAAGAGAAAGTAAATAGTTTACCAATTTTTTGACTCAGTTTGATTTTCAGTAACACGGGACAGAGACATGAAAATGCCTTGTGAGTTTTTTTTTATTTTTCAACAGATTGGTCGATCACAACTCTATAAGGGTCGACGACATGGAATTTGAGTGTTTGTGGATCATTCATTTTTATCGCATTGGGTTCGACTTGCAAGTTACCTCTCTGTATGGACGGAACCATGGGCTTCAGGTCTCAAAAGTAAAAACTCATTGCAAATCTTCTGTAATTTTTAGGGTAATTTATTATTTTCACTCTTAAAGTATGTACAAAAATTTTTATTTGATTCTTGAAAATTCAATGAATACAACAATAACATCTTTAAAATTTTAACCAAAATTCAATTTAGTCATTCCATTTAAATTTATTAATTTGTTTCGACAAAAAAAAATCACACAACTTGCCCATAAAAATATATTTGTCAAGTAAAATATATTTTTTTCAAATACATCAATATTTCTATCTCAATATTTCTCAAATTTTTACTCTAATATATATATATATATATATATATATATTTTGGGTTTGTTATCATTTTTTTTTCTTCTTAAAATCATATAAAATAAAGTAACATTTTTTAACTTATACATAACAATTTTTTCACCAGACAAATATACATTTTGATCTAAGTTATACAAATGTTAATTATGGAATACAATTTCATCGTAATAAATTTGTGAATTTTGATAAAAACACTAAATTGAAGCTCAATTAAATTTTAGGGTTAATTGCAAATTGCATCATGAAAGATCGTTCGAATTTCAATTCGCACCCTCAAAAATAAAAAATTTGTATCAATGTGCACTTAAAACTAACCACCGTCAGTTTGCTACCTTAAACTAAATTAATAAATTATACCTAAATTCTCTCGTGCTTGTCACTAATCATTTGGAACCCTTCTCAAATAAAGGGTAATATAAAATTATAATTTTTTATTATGATAAAATCATATTTTTTAACAGCTATAAAATCCTAATAAAAATACTCTCAACCTAAATTTTCCCCCTATTTGGGCATTCAAATAATTATGTTTAAAGTGATATATTGCATTGCAATTAAAAAATATTAGATAAATACCTACATTCTATTGGACATTTAAATGGTAAGCTTGATTTTGAACTTTAAAATATATCAGACTCACAAAATAAAGAGTAATATGAAATTATATTTTTTTATTAAAAATTATATTTTTTAATAGTTATATTAATAGATATCAACGAAAATGGGTTACATGTTACACGTGCACAAACGTCATGAGATGTAGGAGTAATATTCTAAATATGAAAGAGTCCAAATAAATAAGTGACAAGTATGAGAGAATTTAGGTATAATTTATCAATTTAATTTTAGACAATAAATTGAGGACGGTTAATTTTAAGTGCACATTAGTACAAATTTTTATTTTTGAGAGTATAAATTAAATTTTTTTTTCTTTGATACGTATCGATACAAACTTCTAAGATTGAAGGTGCCAATTAAAATTTTTAATGTTTGAGCTACAAATTGAAATCACACGCGCGAGTCACAACATTCTTGCTCTCTCTCGTCTCTCTCTCTCACGCACACACACCCTCATCAGATCTGCGTCTCTCTCTCGATCAAATCTAAGTCTCCATCTCTGTATAGGGCCGCCGCTATCAATATCAGAGCTTCTCTATTGACGAAGCAAGGATAAGATTTGTTACGAGGAACAACTAACATGGAAATGAGCGGAAGTTCTCGAAGAACTGCGTGAAGAACTATCACATCCTCCAGAGACGTCAAAGACGATCGCTCGATTCGTAATTCAAAGCCCAACCAGAGACTCCGAAAAGATAGAGGCAAAGGCCACATCGTTATTTGAAATTTTGATGTTAATCTCAAAGCTCTGTTAGGGTTTGGAGGTATCGCCTTTTAAATTGCCTTGTTATTCATTTATAATATAATTTAATTCCGTCGAAGAGTCATGGAACTTCTATGGTAATTGATTAGTCTTTCTTATGCCCGTGTGTGTGCGAGTGTATGTGCGATGGTGATTTGCTGTTGAACCTTGGATGTATTGTTTGTCGCAGTGTCAAGGTGCGCTCTAGTGAGTGCTTATACTGGGGGGTACATATCGGTCGTATGTTTTGTGTTCATCTTGAATTTCGTGCAAGGTACTCCTTTGCTCAGATTGTGTTTCTGATTGATTTGTTTGTGTAGTCTCTAATATTACATATTGCAATGTTGCTCTTCGTCATAGATTCACTACAAGTTATTTTCATTGTTGAAGATGTGTTGTAATGTTGTTTTCCACAATTTTATCATTTATTTGCAATACTAATACAAGTTATGATCCTCTTGAGGCTCGTATTCTGTTGTTAAACTAATTTTGACAGGTCCATTATTTGATATTGTATTTGATTATATGTGAATACAGGCTCACCCTTTGTTCTTTGCAAGTTGAAGCATAGACGTTTTTCTGCCTTCAATAAAGGCATGGCTCTTGCTTTTGGTATTTGATTTGCTTTTCGTAATTGTCATATTTTTACTGGCAGCTGACATTGATCATAATGTTGTTTTTAGTTGGAAACTGTTAGTGTTATTATCTTGTATTGTTTAGTAGGGTTAGTTGTGTCAATATACACATGTATTACCCCTATATATATCATCATATATCAGCCCTAAAGGGTGAGGGATTCCATTATTCTTCATGGTATCAAAGTCAACTTTGAGACCTTTCTAAATTTTTCTGCCTGTTCTAGCCATTCACAATGGCTTCCACCACCATTTCTTGCTCCTCCTCTTTTTGGAATCAGGTGTATGTAATATTTGATATGGTGATAAATGAGGTGGAGTTGACTAGTTTGATTGGATCGAGAGATGATAAATTAGACCTAGAACAGTGATGATTTTAGTCGGTGACCTACATTGCATTTCTATGTTTTACCACCCTTTTAGTCGAATATGTAAGAGCCCAATTTGAGAATGGTTTAAGTGGGCACGTTCAATGAATCCCATGTAAAATGCTTGGACATCCATTCTGCTTTTTTAAAGTACCACACAGTGTTTTGAAAAGCTCGCCTAGGCGACAAGCGAGGCGAGGCGAGCTTATCTCGCCTGGAGGACCCCAGGCGAAGCGAACGTGAGCGAAGCGCGAAAAAAGTGAGAAAAAGAGAAGAAGCGAAAAAAGCGAAGAAGCGAAAAAAGCGAAAAAGCGAACGCTTTATTATAAAAAGCGATTCTGCTTCACTTTTTTTTTTTTTTTTTTTTCTGATTACAAGTTAGTAGTCTCTTTTATTTTTTAATCACTAATGACTTTTTTTTTAGACTATTGCTGGTCTATTTTTTTTTTTTTTTTCTAATAAACAATGTTTCGAACAAAACACATTCCTTTTTTTTCCTTGTGTTGCTGAATTCATTTAGAATATTTGTGGGATGTGGGAGTCAGGCGACTACACTGCATGACAATTATGATAAAAAAATGAAGCAGGAGTATCAGAAATGGGGGTAAATAATAAATTCTTCTACAAAGAAGTGTCTCTGATATGTCTTGGTTATACTTTTCCCTTTTCTTATATATATACAAATGGTACCAAAAAGTGGTCTATGCTTATACCATGTTTAATTATTTTAGTACATGTAAAATGTGCCTCTATTCTGCTTTTTTTTATTTAGTATATAATTACATATGAAATTGTTTACAATTGATTATGCTCCTATCATGATCATTGTGCTTCTGTTTTTTTTTTAGCTCATTCTGCTTCTATTTTTTTTTTTTGTTGATTCTATTGCTGCTTCGGTTTTGCTGTCCTGTGTTGCTTTTGTTTTTTTTTAATTGTCATTCTGCTTTTTTTTTTTTTGTTGCTAATTCTGCTGTTGTCCTGATTCTGCTTCTTTTGTTGTCCTACCCTGTCAATATGAAAATGTATACAATTGTTAGTATTTGTTTGAATTTAAATGTTTAAGTTATGACTGTTATTAAGATTTGAGATATTATTAGTGTTTTTTTTAATTTAAATGTTTATGGTTTTACTTGCATTTAAATATTTAGTATATATAAAATTAGAACTTAGATTGTTTAGAAGTAATTAAACTAAAATATATATTTTTTTTAACTGTTCGCTTTGCTTCGGTAAATCGTGTCGCTTCGCTTCTCGCTTCTCGCTTCTCGCCTAGGCGTTAGGAGCCTTGGTCGCTTCGGTTCGCTTTACGCCTTAAATAACACTGGTACCACAATATTAAGTCTATGTGTTCATTTTGAGGCTTGAATTGTTTCTACATGCCCTGTTGGAGTTATGACATATTTCATGGAGGGGTAATTGGTATTAGGAGGAGGCTTTAGCTCACTAGCAATTTGGTTACCATTCTAGAACTTATTTCTTAAATGATTGTTTATTCACCAAGATTTTTGCGATATGTTCCTTAAATGAAGAGACACATCAATTGCACATTTTTTTTGGTTACCTACACATTTTAATGGTTTCGAATTGTAACTTTGGAAGGTTTGTGGGATCCATTTATCTCATTGTGTCAGTAATGAATGTGTAAGCCAATACAAATAATGTTGCTTAAAAGCTTTAGGGGTTGTAGTATTCAATTTTTTTTACTTTCACTTCTATATATTAGCAATTTTTTAGTTACGTGGTGCCTTTAGGTACGGGCCATTGCTAGTCAATATAATAAAGTTTCTAAAGACAAAAACGGTTGAGATTAATTCAAGATAAAATAAAGACTCATTCAACGGAACACTTAATCTTAATATAAAAGACGATTCAAATCATCTTAAATTTATTGATTCAACGAACCACAATGAGTGTTGCAATACTTTTTCCCTCCTATAGCACTTTACATTTTGTATACATTAATTACGCCTTAAACACACACTCTCTCTCACTCCAGAATATTCTATCCCTCTTTACCTCTCACACTAGCCCAATGCCTTAATTTCCAGATCTTCTCCCTTTTTCCGTGTCTCCCCTAAATCTTCTTCCTCTCTCTCCAAATTTGCTTCTCAAAATTCCGTCTACTTGAACCCTTCTTATTATCTCAGCTTGGTAGGGGCCCTTCAATACTTGACCTTTACCTGCACTAACATTGCCTTTGTTGTTCATCACATTTGCCAACATATGCGTGATCCTAGATAGTCCCATTTCATGGCCATCATGCATTATCTGAAAGGGAAGATTTACTTTGGACTCTAACTATATGAAAGCAATTTTGATCTAATCATTGCATATTCCGACGTTGATTGGGCGGGTTGTCCTAACTCTCACCACTCCATTAGTGGCTATTGTGTTTTTATTGGATTCACTCTTGTTTCTTGGTGTGCCAAGAAACAATCAAACGCCTATACATTTGTTGATACTTGTTGGTTACAATATCTTCTCCGGGATTTGCATATACCATGGTTTGGAAAATCGGCCGTTATGTAACAGTAACTGAGGTCGACGATACCATTACACCCCGATTTATCAGCTGAAAAAAAATTCACACCCGTAACGGTTGTTATAGCCCATTATGTAGTCGTAACGGCCGTTACACATCAACATCTCTTGGTTTTGCTACCAGAAAATCAAGAAAAATATATGAAAGGAGAAGAGTAGAAATTAAGACAAGGAGGTGTGTAGATCTGGTATCTCTTCAACGATCGGCTTCTAAACACTACTGCGTGGCTACTTTGGNAAAAATGATTCTACCTCGTTTCTATGTTGAGCATTGTAGATGACTCACCATACAGAAAAAGAGCTATGATCATCTACAGGGACTTGAGGAGCAGTTTGACTAGGTGGTATTCAGTTTTTTAATGGAGATAATGCCCTTTATTCGCTTTAGCTTCTTTGAATTCTTCATGTGTACAGCGTAGGTTCCACGGATTTCCATTGTGCAGAAGTACATTGTTTCTCTATGGTGAAGATGCTGTTGACTGAATCAGTACGAGGTTATCTCGAAACAGGAGTGGGCGAAAAAAAAGTAAACTGCTCAATTGACTTTCCAAATGATGCGAGTTATGTATGTTTTAAAATGATTCGACACTGTGTGGTGCAATGGGAGATATGTATGTTTTAAAATGATTCGATATCCTGTGGTTAAAGTTGGCCCAGGTATTGAACGGGTTGGCCTGGCCTGGCCCAGGCATAGCACACCCTAGGCTTTATTTTTTCCGGTCTCTTTCCTGCCACCATCATACCTTCAAGTCTTGTATCTCTAAAGTTACATTTGAAATCTATGTACGCAGGAAGAAAAAAAAAGTTCTATGCACTTTTTTAGATATAACTGCGGGGGGCATGGCGAAAGCCAAATTCAAAATTTAGATTCGGTCAAAAAATTGTGGATGATGTTGGGCCTATGCCCACATAGCCCAATATTAAGCCCAACTAGCCCAATATTAAGTCCAATTTTAAGTTCAACTAGCCCACTGATGGTAAATGCAGAGGCTCACAGGCCCAATATTAATCCCAAATTATGGGTTCATAGGTCTAATAGTAAGCCCAACTAACCCATTGGCCCGGAAGCCCAATATTAAGCTAATGAGCTTACCAGGCCCTATGATAAGCCCAAATTTTTGGTTCATAAGTCCAATAGCAAGCCCAACTAACCCATTGTCCCGGTGGCCCAATGGATAGGTCCAATAGTAAGCCCAATTGACCCATTGACTCAGAAGCCCAATATTAAGCCCATGTCTATGGGTTAAATGAAATGGGCGTATCAGGCCCAATGCGGTTGAATTTATGGGCCAGAAAGCCCAATATTCAGCCCTATTACAACTGATTTAGTTAAATTTATGGGCTCAGGCATAATATTAAGCACATGTCTACGAGGGAAATGAAATGGGCTTATCAGGCCCAATGTGGTTGAATTTATGGGCCATAAAGCCCAATATTCAGCCCTATTACCCCTGCACTGGTTGAATTTATGGGCTCAGGCCCATAATAAGCCCAATTAATTTGCAGATTGGGTTCAATTTATGGGCAAAGAAGTCCAATAATATGACAATGGGCTAATTAGGCCCAATCGTGGGCTTCCTGGGCACAATGTTATTAAATTAATGGCTTACAGGCCCACAATCTGGTTGAATTTTTGGGCCAGAAAGCCCAATATTCAGCCCTATTACCCCTGAACTTATTGAATTTATGGGCTCAGGCCCATAATAAGCCCAATAACTTGCAGATGGGGTTCAATTTATGAGCCAAGAAGCCCAATACTACGACAATGGGCTAATCAGGCCCCAATCGTAGGCTTACTGGGCACAATGTTATTAAATCTATGGGCTCATCAGGCCCAATCAGAAAAGTTAGACCCATGGGATTAAATGAAATGTCCTTATCAGGCCCAATGCGATTAAATTAATGGGCTTATAAGCCCACATCAGGTTGAACTTATGGGCTCATCAGGCCCCATCAAAAGCCCAATATTGAACCCAAACATCCCACTTTTCTGATTAAATTTATGCACAATCAAGCCCAATATAGTTACATTTAAGGGCTCAATCCCCTTGGTAAAAGTATCAATGGGCTTTAATCCGGCCCTAATAGTTCCAGCGCCGCACAGAACGTAAATTAATTTAATAGGATAGACCTGGGCCAGACGTTTTGCTGAAGTAAATAATCGAACTCGAACAGGCCCTATGGCCATTGATTTCCTAGTTAATTCAATTTCAATACTTCTGATACATCAAAACCATGATTGAAAAAACTACACATTGCAAAAACCGCCATAACCATTAATGTAGCGCTCTTAATAGTCTGTCTAACCTTCTGCCAGTTCGATTTCTTCAGCCATTATAATCTCCATGTCCCGGAAATCTCGCTTCAACACATTGCCAAGTCTAGCAATGGCCGCAGTCTGGTGTTGTAAGACCTGCCCCCAATCAATACAAGAAACCAGTCATTTTTCCACAGCCTAATACAAGACATCCTTGCGGTTGCTGGCATTGCCCACTCTTATGATTTAGATAATAAAGTCGTGAACATACAAGTGCTGGGAACATAAACTTATACGTAGATGGAACAATAAAGAATNGTAGGTTCCACGGATTTCCATTGTGCAGAAGTACATTGTTTCTCTATGGTGAAGATGCTGTTGACTGAATCAGTACGAGGTTATCTCGAAACAGGAGTGGGCGAAAAAAAAGTAAACTGCTCAATTGACTTTCCAAATGATGCGAGTTATGTATGTTTTAAAATGATTCGACACTGTGTGGTGCAATGGGAGATATGTATGTTTTAAAATGATTCGATATCCTGTGGTTAAAGTTGGCCCAGGTATTGAACGGGTTGGCCTGGCCTGGCCCAGGCATAGCACACCCTAGGCTTTATTTTTTCCGGTCTCTTTCCTGCCACCATCATACCTTCAAGTCTTGTATCTCTAAAGTTACATTTGAAATCTATGTACGCAGGAAGAAAAAAAAAGTTCTATGCACTTTTTTAGATATAACTGCGGGGGGCATGGCGAAAGCCAAATTCAAAATTTAGATTCGGTCAAAAAATTGTGGATGATGTTGGGCCTATGCCCACATAGCCCAATATTAAGCCCAACTAGCCCAATATTAAGTCCAATTTTAAGTTCAACTAGCCCACTGATGGTAAATGCAGAGGCTCACAGGCCCAATATTAATCCCAAATTATGGGTTCATAGGTCTAATAGTAAGCCCAACTAACCCATTGGCCCGGAAGCCCAATATTAAGCTAATGAGCTTACCAGGCCCTATGATAAGCCCAAATTTTTGGTTCATAAGTCCAATAGCAAGCCCAACTAACCCATTGTCCCGGTGGCCCAATGGATAGGTCCAATAGTAAGCCCAATTGACCCATTGACTCAGAAGCCCAATATTAAGCCCATGTCTATGGGTTAAATGAAATGGGCGTATCAGGCCCAATGCGGTTGAATTTATGGGCCAGAAAGCCCAATATTCAGCCCTATTACAACTGATTTAGTTAAATTTATGGGCTCAGGCATAATATTAAGCACATGTCTACGGGGGAAATGAAATGGGCTTATCAGGCCCAATGTGGTTGAATTTATGGGCCATAAAGCCCAATATTCAGCCCTATTACCCCTGCACTGGTTGAATTTATGGGCTCAGGCCCATAATAAGCCCAATTAATTTGCAGATTGGGTTCAATTTATGGGCAAAGAAGTCCAATAATATGACAATGGGCTAATTAGGCCCAATCGTGGGCTTCCTGGGCACAATGTTATTAAATTAATGGCTTACAGGCCCACCATCTGGTTGAATTTTTGGGCCAGAAAGCCCAATATTCAGCCCTATTACCCCTGAACTTATTGAATTTATGGGCTCAGGCCCATAATAAGCCCAATAACTTGCAGATGGGGTTCAATTTATGAGCCAAGAAGCCCAATACTACGACAATGGGCTAATCAGGCCCCAATCGTAGGCTTACTGGGCACAATGTTATTAAATCTATGGGCTCATCAGGCCCAATCAGAAAAGTTAGACCCATGGGATTAAATGAAATGGCCTTATCAGGCCCAATGCGATTAAATTAATGGGCTTATAAGCCCACATCAGGTTGAACTTATGGGCTCATCAGGCCCCATCAAAAGCCCAATATTGAACCCAAACATCCCACTTTTCTGATTAAATTTATGCACAATCAAGCCCAATATAGTTACATTTAAGGGCTCAATCCCCTTGGTAAAAGTATCAATGGGCTTTAATCCGGCCCTAATAGTTCCAGTGCCGCACAGAACGTAAATTAATTTAATAGGATAGACCTGGGCCAAACGTTTTGCTGAAGTAAATAATCGAACTCGAACAGGCCCTATGGCCATTGATTTCCTAGTTAATTCAATTTCAATACTTCTGATACATCAAAACCATGATTGAAAAAACTACACATTGCAAAAACCGCCATAACCATTAATGTAGCGCTCTTAATAGTCTGTCTAACCTTCTGCCAGTTCGATTTCTTCAGCCATTATAATCTCCATGTCCCGGAAATCTCGCTTCAACACATTGCCAAGTCTAGCAATGGCCGCAGTCTGGTGTTGTAAGACCTGCCCCCAATCAATACAAGAAACCAGTCATTTTTCCACAGCCTAATACAAGACATCCTTGCGGTTGCTGGCATTGCCCACTCTTATGATTTAGATAATAAAGTCGTGAACATACAAGTGCTGGGAACATAAACTTATACGTAGATGGAACAATAAAGACTAGTTTATACTACACTCAAAAGCTTATAATGACACTCTTACACATTATGTTTAGCTTGTAATACAGTTATCACGCATTATTAAGTTCTTTCCCTTGAAGTTGTGAAAATACTCGCAAAATAGAAAAAAAATGGCCATGTGATCAGCATTATGAATTTAAAACTTGTCCAGCCATACCTCCTGCATATCAGCAAGACTTTGTTCATGTATTTTGGTTGATCCAGGAAAATAAACAGCACCACCACCAAGTGCATTTGGTTGGACACGAGATACAGTTAGCAGATTCTGAACCCTCCTAGAAAGTTCGGCTCCAGATCCTTTCAACTGCACGTTTGTCTGCTTGTCAGTAAAATGCCAAGAATACATTCCAATATAGGAAGCAGGACTGGAAACTTTCTTTTTCTATCTTATAGAAAGGTTAAAGCCAAGGAATATCAACCTGTCTAGTTATTGCAGCCAACTTCTCAGCTAATTCGGCTTCTCCTTTCATCAACGGCAATCGACAACCTTTTCCTTCCAATGCCTCCAGTATTTTCATCACCTTTTTGCAAAATATCAAAAGCAAGCATGTATGCAACAAGAAGAAGGATGAGCATTAAAAGCAGACACTACTGCTGCAACAAAGATCAAGAGTGCACTCCAAGATTGTCTCACTCTTAAGAGGCGCCTTTGAAGACCTTGCTCTTTCTGTCTCAGCCTTTCAATCCAGGGAAGGGTGTCAGCTTGAAAATGTCTCTGAAGCTGCAAAACATATAATGTGTGGGCATGAGAGAGAGAAGGGTTGGGTCTTCCTTTGATGGTGGTGGTTTTTTTGGGGGGGTAGGTGGGAGAAGATTGGATGGGTGGAAAAGAGCTTATATTTGCAGTGGGGGTAGATTAACATTGGTACAATTGGTTTTGGCTAGTATACCTACTTAGTTTTTATTTCTCTTTAAAATGGCAAGAAAGATTGTCATGAGAAATGAGAAAATGATGAGGTATTATTGGTGGGGAAAAGATGATTTTCCGCTTTTTTGTATTTTAGCGGACTGGAAGGCCTCACATGATACAGAATTTGATTAGTTGAGATTTTGTATCTTTCCACTTCATGGTTAGACATCTTGTCCATCTATAGAGCTTTTTGATGTATCATTTTTTATCATTTTAAATCAATGAAGTTATGTTTCCTATCAAAAAAAAAGGAAGAGAAGAGGGTTGAGAGAGAGAGAGGGAGAGAGAGAGAACATACCATTTTCACGTTGCTTTGAGTCATTTTCAATCTCTCAGCATCTGAAATAATGACCTCATCTTGAAGCTGCATCAGCTCGAATTGAAAAACATAAATCAATTACCAGAAGTAATTAACAAATTTCAACAAAGAAAAGAAGCAAATATATCTGGCCGGTGTTCCTAAGATGATAAACCAAAATATATGACCATACACATGAAACCTTTTCTTGAAAACTAAACATGACAAAAACCCTGTTAAAAAAAAAAAGATTCTTTAATAATAGACTATTGTGTGTTTGACTTTATTCATAGCCCTCCCACCCCCCACCCAAAAAAAAAGAACCACCCAAATCTCATTCTCTTTTTTCCAGTTTCAAATGAAAGCCAACGTCATAATCTATGACTTCCAATGCAGCAGTATAAGATCATTATATGACATCAAAATTACACCATTCCAGTTTTCACAGTATCCACTGAATAACAAAAGTAAGGCAAATTATGAATTTTCATAACATTTATCTAGACTCAAAAAGTGGAGGGAATACAATTTTATCCTTGCTTTCTGGCACTCCAAAAGATGCAAGGAAAAAATGAGGTAATTATGTTCTAAAAACAAAGTAACAAACTACACAGTAATTGTTGGGAATTCAAAAATATGATGAACAATAATTCCAGTTGTTATATTATTTACTCAATAACAAAAGTAAAGGCATTATGAGTTTTCATAACATTTATCTAGTTTTGGAGGACTCTCCAAAAGATATAAGGAACAAAGGAGGTAATTATGTTCTAAAAAACGAACTGAATAATAAATATCGTTAATTCGAAAACAAGATAAACAATGATTCCATATGCAAATTTCTTAAAATTTTAACTGTTCAATAAAACAAATCTTTTGTAGTTGTTTCTATAGAAGACTTTTTCACGATTAACACCAAAAGTCAGCGAATAGTTTGTGGGTGCCTTGTGTAGAGTTACTACTTCTGAGAAAAAGGTGGATACAATCAGATGGTCCGGTGCTAAAAGTGAAGGCCTTCCCAATTCCACCCTATTGTAGTATTGTAATTGTCTACCTGAGGCCCCAAAAGGAAAAGGGGTTTGAGAACTGAAAATACACATCATTTATTATGGTGGTGGAAATTGGATGATGAGACATAGTTCCACAATACCCGCTTGATGTTGAAAATTAAAAACCAATGTGCTAGCACAATGAAAGAAAAGAACATTCCCTCTTTTCTGACACATATAGGCCTCTGAACAAAAACTAAGCACTCTCTCCCAATAGGTCCTTTTTTATAATTTTCAGCTATAACGATTATGTATGCAATCAATCACTTGTACTCTCTTCATACATTCTCAAGGTTCTTCACTAAAGAAAGGACGAATAATTAAGTCTAGGAAGTAACAAAAATATTGCATGCTAGTCACGAAATGAGACCCTGCATTGATAACGTATCTCATAAATATATGCAAAGAACAATCATAAGCTCCAACATAGAAAAGATTAAGTACCTTAAGACGTTGGGAAAGATCTTTGAAACCTTGAACAAGCTGAGGCCAAAGGCGTTCTCGGTTTGAACTCTCCATTCCTTCCAACTTCCCCATTGCCTCTGACCACATAATCTGAAAATGTAAACTATTCACCAAATTTAGCAAATCCACATGTAAAAAATGAATGCGGAAAAGAAAAGAAAACCAAAGGTCATAAAAGCAAGGATTAACAATAATGAACTCACATCTGATACACCTGCTGGCTTAGTTCTATACTGAGGCTCTGTCACACTGAACAACAAATGCTGCAACAAAAAACATAATGATCTCCTAAGCTTTCAAACTCTCTAAAGCACGAATTGAGTGTCTTCGAGCAAAAACAAATGAATTTCAGTTGTGTTTAGCAGAGTGGAACTACATAGTGGAATCGTAATTGAGAATTTAGCATAAAATTTGCTATCTATGAATAGTCAACATATCTATGTNAACGATTATGTATGCAATCAATCACTTGTACTCTCTTCATACATTCTCAAGGTTCTTCACTAAAGAAAGGACGAATAATTAAGTCTAGGAAGTAACAAAAATATTGCATGCTAGTCACGAAATGAGACCCTGCATTGATAACGTATCTCATAAATATATGCAAAGAACAATCATAAGCTCCAACATAGAAAAGATTAAGTACCTTAAGACGTTGGGAAAGATCTTTGAAACCTTGAACAAGCTGAGGCCAAAGGCGTTCTCGGTTTGAACTCTCCATTCCTTCCAACTTCCCCATTGCCTCTGACCACATAATCTGAAAATGTAAACTATTCACCAAATTTAGCAAATCCACATGTAAAAAATGAATGCGGAAAAGAAAAGAAAACCAAAGGTCATAAAAGCAAGGATTAACAATAATGAACTCACATCTGATACACCAGCTGGCTTAGTTCTATACTGAGGCTCTGTCACACTGAACAACAAATGCTGCAACAAAAAACATAATGATCTCCTAAGCTTTCAAACTCTCTAAAGCACGAATTGAGTGTCTTCGAGCAAAAACAAATGAATTTCAGTTGTGTTTAGCAGAGTGGAACTACAGAGTGGAATCGTAATTGAGAATTTAGCATAAAATTTGCTATCTATGAATAGTCAACATATCTGTGTCAGATACCATTTCAGATACGATACTCGTCAGACATTCGAAGATATATATCAAATATGCAACAAATGTATCTGATAATATATAAAATATGTGAATACTCTTTGCAGATACTTCTATATGCGAAGAAATATGAATAATTTTAAATTTTAAATCTTACCCCCTCCTTTCAATTTTACATACAATACAATATATCAACAAAAAATCATACAAAAATTTTAAAGTATTAGTTGATGCCCACGTGCGTTGCACATAGATAATTTTTTATTATATGTTTTGAATTTTTTTTGTGATATGGGTTTCGAGTATTTCTTCAGCAAAATCTTTAGACATAATTTTTTTAGTGCATGATGTTTAAAAGACACGAAATGATTTTGTGAAAAACATCAAGAAATCATGAATAATAGTAAGAGAGAATAGAAAATTTGTGCTAGAATTGCCACTATTGGCAGAGAGATTAGGTTATGTAGTTTCAACGGAGTCCATCCCATAATGCGAAAACTCGAATTCTCACTCACTTTTTTTGTACATAGAGCTCACATGAAAATTTCCATTAAAAGATTGTTACATTCAGTTGTAACATTCTTTACAATTTCTCTTTTTTGCCCCCTTGAATTGGGCTTACTATTAATCTTTTTCCATGGCCTTGAGATTTATTATTTTTGAAGCATTTGCCCAACAGGTTATGTATCTCGAAAACATTTGGCTATAACTTAAGATTAATAACGTTTCAATTTTCAATATTATCAATTATGCTAGCTTGACCTAGATATGATAAAGTTTATCGAGAATGATTATTCTCGTTATTTGTTTTTCAAACGAAACACCTCTCCAAATGCACCTCCTTTCTTTTGTTGCAACATTCCTTTGGTGTGCTCATCAAATGAATCAGTCACACAAATGCAGACAAAATTCTTCATCCTCCACTACATCATTTTAGGATAATTTGTTAACATAAATGAGATGACTTTGATTTGATTATTTTACAGTCATCGTCTACTATTGGATCTAGTTTTTGCGAATGTATAATGCATGTGGACTATTTGAGCATCAAATAACAAATATGTCATCACCTAAATCTTCTTAAAACAAGTGATCTTGTACCACATATACCAATAATTAAATATGTTTATTACAAAAAATATAGAAGATCACTATGACTTCTTCTATATTATGATCAAATTTGTTGAACTCTTTATCTTCTATTGTATAATATTTTAAACCCAAACTATTCGTACTTGATCATGGCCAGAATAACTATCCAAAAATAAAACAGCCAAGGAAGCCAACACGGTAGAAGCACCGGCCTAAACAACTTGGGAGTTTAATTGATAATGGGATAGTGAGTCAATAGTTAATAGTTATCTAACACACATTTCCCTGTAGAGAACCAACCTTATTATTTTTAGCATCACTAAAATTTCAGAAGTCTTCCTAAACAGCATGTCATGGCATGTCATCCATCAACCAACATTTTTAAAGATTCTGTGCATGTAAATCATAGTTAACAGTGATCCAATCCATGTTTCACTATAGAGAACCAACCTTATTTGTTTCTAACATGTTTCTAACATAACTATAATTTAAGAAGTCTTCCTGAGTTTATTCATAATGTGGCACATCATCCACAACTCAAAAAAACTTTATTCTAAACAAACTAAGGTCTGATAAATTTCCAAAGAGAATCCACAAACAAATTTGTCCTCTTGGCACGCATTATCTTATACCATTAACTAACATTGTTAAAGATCAATCACGCACACACAAAGCTATGATTGCATTAGCAAAACCAGAAACCCAACCCATTAATGCATCAAATACAATACCACAAATAGTGGATATATAGAATGTTGAAACCCAAGTGGCAAAAAAGATTGCAGCTTGTAAATACTTTGACCTAGATGATCAGATGTGCAATCAGCTATCAACTCTTATTTTTTGAATGTACCTACTCACAGATATTTTGGGGAGCAGTTATTGCCCTTAGAAGCCAACAGTGGGAGATAAGGCCGTGAAATTAATATACTGAATGGGTTGGAAACGATAGGAAGGGTAGCTAGCAGAATGTCTTTTGTGGTACTCAAGCTAAGCCTCTCGGCGCTGTTACAATCTACCACCACCGGAGAGAAAGGAACAACAGTGTGTACACTAACCAATTCAAACTAATAGTACAATGATCACTACCTGAAGGCTGATTGTGCAGCAATGGTCACTACACAGAACAAACATTATAGGGGGAGGTGGTGGGGAAAAGCTAGCCATCAAGGCTATTGGAAATTGGAATGATGATCCTCAAAAAGGCTTCAAATCATGGGTAATGAATTATAAGACTAATAAAAGATTATTGAGTTAAAAACATTTAGTATAGAATTTTAAAAATTTACAGTTACGCTNGAAATTGGAATGATGATCCTCAAAAAGGCTTCAAATCATGGGTAATGAATTATAAGTCTAAAAGATTATTGAGTTAAAAACATTTAGTATAGAATTTTAAAAATTTACAGTTACGATATAATTTGATACAATTGATTGAGGGTAATCTAGTAATTATAGATTGATATAATTGATTGGGGTAATTAAGCTGGCACTAATCTGACTTTATATAATTGTTTAAGGGTAATTATGGTACAAAAATATTTTTTAGTTTAGTAGCCTTTTAGAACAAATATAGATATAGATTATCCACTATCACCAATCCAATGAGTATAAATGAGTTTATTAATCGATAATCCTAACACCAAATACTTCTAAGCAAATAATCTAATTTAATGTTTTATTTCTTTAATTAATCATGTTCACTTTGTAGATATACCATAATGAGACAATCTCTACATTTTTTAAAATGAAAAATGTTAATGTTATTTAGTATTGTTAAAGAATCACTAAAAATTAATGCTATCAAATCATCACATAATAATACAAATGTAAAATATATATTTTTTTATAGACGTATCTTGGCCTGTATATCCTATTTGATTGTATCCGTACCGTATCATACTTGTATTTGTGCTTCCTAACTTGCACTGCTTTATAAAAGTTCCACATTTTTAAACACTGAATAGGTTTTGAATCCTGCTATTATCGATGACAACTTTCAGAAAAGAAAAAGAAAACAAAAGAACCAGACACAACTAACCTAGTGGAAGAAAACGATCATTCTATTTTGGTTTACACCCAAAAGAATACATTCAAAATTCGCTCTCTGTTTCTTCTCTTTGATTTTCTTAACAACCAAACGGAAAGTTAATTATTAGCTACAAACAGCCAAATCTCCAGCAAAAATAAATTCAGAACAAAGAATCGAACCTTAAACGCATACTTAGGGTTTCCAGGCTCCATCTTGTAAGCATCAACAATCGCCTGATAGAACACCAAAAATCATTCAAAACCTCCAAAATTCAAAGGCACGTCGAAAAGATAGAATGATCAGGCGATCGGCGACTTACTTGAATGTCCCGATCGGCGAGAGAGAAAGGAAGAGGAGCCACAGGAGCCATCTGAGTGGTCAATTGCGCATTTCCGAACTGCAACCCCGGAGTCAACGTTGACTGACCGAACGGAGTAGATTGTGCTTGTGCGGCACCGAATGGAGTCGAAAATCCAAAACCACCGGAGCTTTGTTGTGGCTGAAACAAAGAAGTTTGTTGCTGTTGCTGTTGCTGTTGCGGTTGCGGTTGGGATTGTTGGGAGAATGGGGTTGAGAACAGTGATGTACCGAAGCCGGTGGCGAATGAAGGCGTGGATGGAGTGCCGAAGGCTGGTATTGAAGACGGAGTGCCGAAGGCGGGGGTGGAGGATGGAGTGCCGAAGACGGGGGTGGACGAAGGTGTGCCAAAGGCGGAGGTGGGCTGAGCTCCAAACATTGTTGCTTTCTCGTACCCGCTGAGAGAGAGAGAGAGAGAGAGAAANGGGTGGAGGATGGAGTGCCGAAGACGGGGGTGGACGAAGGTGTGCCAAAGGCGGAGGTGGGCTGAGCTCCAAACATTGTTGCTTTCTCGTACCCGCTGAGAGAGAGAGAGAGAGAGAGAAATTTGGGAATTGGGAATTGGAACCCTAGGTTAGGGTCTGTTCTGCGAGTGCCCAAGCAATTGCCGCCAATTTTTGGGATGCAATCTCTTTTCTACTCCATTTTTCGGGAGAATTACATCCGACGTCCGTAAAATTTGTCACTTAATTATTTAAATACTCTAATATTTAAAATATTATACACCAATCTCCTGAAATTTGGACGTTCGTAACACTTAAATCTTTTTTGTCAATGTCTCTTATCTTTTTAGTTGAACCCTAATATTTAAAATATTATACACCGATCCTTTGAAATTTATATACACGTAACATTTAAATCTCTTTCGTTAATAAATATTGTCTTTTCAGTCGAATCTAATGATATCGGTGGACCCAACTCTCGTATATCGTCAATACTTGGGATCAAGCATCGAATACTCTAATTAATCAATTTTGTTCTTTTCAAAGTCAGACACTCCGCGTCCACCTCTCTTTTTCTCCCATCAGGTTTATTCAAAGTTTATAATTATTATCGATCCACAATTTCATNCGTCCACCTCTCTTTTTCTCCCATCAGGTTTATTCAAAGTTTATAATTATTATCGATCCACAATTTCATAATTGAATCCTCTCTCAAAACAATACATCAGATATGTGCTCTTAATATTGACATTGTTATGATTCTAACCTCCTGGCAAGATGATAAGTATGACAATCAAGTTGAAAATTGGTATGCATTCAAAACATTGGCAACATCTCCGTTTTTTTTTAGTCACCCCAAACAACCTGTCCACCGTATACTACTTATCAGTGGTAAGGAAAGTTTGCAAAAGAGATTTGCATCAAATTGGATCACCAATCTTCCATTTTATTTTCAAGAAAGAAATATTATTGCCTGTCAAAATACCCACCTAATCTTATGCGAGAAAATGTTCATGTCCCACCTGTATCAGGTAACAATTACATGGTCATTTCAATTCCACAATGTAATCCAACAATCGTCTGACGATTCCCAGTCCACGTAGACATAAAACAACCTGAGAAATGCCTGATGAAGTTGTGTTCATTCAATTTGCTAGATCCACATACCCAAAAAAGAGAGAGAGATCACATAATAACAAAGAACCGAACGGAATGGGCAAGTACAATATGTATTGGAAAAAACATCCCTACCAGAAAACATAATTCCTTGAAAAGCAATTCCAGTACCCAAATTCATAATTCAACTGACAACTCATGCAAACAAATCTAAAACCCTTCACAAGTTAAACAAATAAACCGCTAGCTATTGCCAAGAACCATATATTTGATGAGGCAAGAAAGCCCAGAAATTAGTCAGAGATATTTTAGACTCGAAGTTTTTATCATCAGCTTCCCGGAAATAAACCTTTCATGCTTTGATTGTGACACTGCACAAGCACAGACCAGATGGCTTTATCTCAGAAGTCTGCCACTCTGAGCCTGGAGCTGCGTTTGGATCATATAAGAGTGTATGGTAAGCAGGTTCCTCATCCAGCGAGAACAGCAAAAGCTTTCCATCCAATATCCCAAACTGAAACCCAATTTTTGAGCTTCCAGTCACTNATGGTAAGCAGGTTCCTCATCCAGCGAGAACAGTAAAAGCTTTCCATCCAATATCCCAAACTGAAACCCAATTTTTGAGCTTCCAGTCACTGGAACTGGAACCATCTTCCATGAATTGTCATCAGGATTAAATATGGCTAGTTTCCGCTGATTCTTCCATTCCATGCAAAAGAGATTCTTTCCAAGCACAGCATGAGCAGTGACCATGACACAACCATTTTTCATTTCACACCAGCTGTGCTTCTCAGGGTTATACACATCAACAAACCTTGAGTTTCCAATAGTGAAACTTGACCTTCCACCCATAATGTAAAGCTTTCCCTCAAAACCACAAGCAAAGCAACCCCATCTTGGGCGACGAAGACTCTCAATTAAGGTCCACTTGTTAACATCTGGGTTGTACACCTCAGCACAAGAGAGAGACTCACCATCCATCCCATAACCCCCAACTACATAAACCATGCCATCTACCTCTGCACAAGCAAAGTCGTAGCGAGCCACATTCATGCTTGCTAATTTGCTCCAGCTGCAATTACAGATGAAATGTTACAAGTTACACAAGAAAACGAGGAAAAATAGAGCTCTGATAAATCATACGATCATTTTCCATTCTGCTTCAACCAGAGACAGGATTTCGGATGAATCATATGATCAAAGTTAATAGCTAATAGCAATGTTCATGGCAAAACTGTTAAGAGCATGAAGCAACAACAATTGCAAGATAAAACCCTACTTCAGAAATGAATGAAGATAAATTGATAGATAGCAGCTGATTAAGATACATGCCCTACAAGACGGGTCATGTTTACATATGGACTTGCTCCAATGTTGCCATTGGAAAGTCCCAGGTGAAAATTCCAAGGACAGGGACTCCTCCGTCTGATTGTTGGAAATTTGAAGACCGTCCAACATATTTCACAAGAAATGGAGGACCCACCAAATTAATGGTCTAATTGGGGAGGCAACTCTATTATGTGTATCCTAAAACTGGTCTAAAACTCGACCCTTCCGACCACGATTGAACTGCTTAGAGGCATGGTTTTAGTTTGAGGGACAGGAGCCAAATATCCCAACCAACCAACCAAACTTCAATCAGGGTTGGTTTGAACTGGTTCAATACACAACTTGGTTTAACTATGGGGAGCCCTACTCTTAGGTGACTTAATTGACCTGTCAGAACTGCACTCACTTCCTAACATAAAGAAAAGGAAAACTTCAATGGGAGGCACCCTCTCCAACAGTTCTGATTGAATTCAGCGGAAGGAATTTAGCTGTTGAAGAATGAGGTAGCAATACATACACAACTACTGAGTAATGGCACCTCAAAGAGTCCATTTCTTCTCCTTTTTCCAGGTATCACCAAGTGAATATAAAAGAGTTGAGACTAAACTGGTCATTGGACCACCCTATTCTGCTGTCCTTTTCAACAGTAGCACCAAGTCAGAGCTGATTTAAGTGGAAGATTTTGCTCTCTAAGCTATCGCAACAAAAAGCAGACCCCTTTCTCTAGCTACACCTAGCAAAAATTAACAATCAGAATCACCATTCTGAAAAAAATAAGAAAAAACTCACAAAAACCAACAGTTCTAATGATTTGCCATAAAGTAACAGAACTGACAAGAATTGGGAAGGAAGCAAAGAACAAACCTGTTGAGGCAAGAATCATATTGGTATACATCTGCCGAGGCAGACCCAACCCCTTCCATTATTGTATAGCCAGCCATGACTAGAAGTTTTCCGTTGAGAACCACAACGCCAAAACCAGCCTTGAAATTACCAGGCATCAGTGGAAGGTCATGGTGCTTGTGTCCCAAACAATCCAAAACCTCCCAGTGGCTCCCCTTTCCTTGAGCATCCGTTGTCAGCACATAGAGCCACTCCTCAAGCATGCCAGCTAGTTTTCGAACTGTGATGAACTCTTTACTCTTGATAAACATCCTCCATCGCTTGGACACACCACCCATAGCAGGGAAGTTAGATCGAGGGACAAGAGCAAGGCAGCACTTGGCCACATCATCGGGCAACCCGGGCAAGAGGGGGCTGCGAAAATCATCAACAACCTGAGAAATTAAATGGCTATTGTTTTTTGAGGTATCTTGCCAGACTGAATTGGTGCAACACATATTCAATTCCGTAAGTCTCTTCTTCCCACGTATATAATCAGGCATTTTCTAGATTGCAAAACAATACAAATTCCAAGAGGCTGAGACTACAATCATGTTGATCAATTAATTTCTCTCAGAATCAAACACTAACTTGACTCAGTGACAGACATGTGACAAAAGAAATACATTTTATCCTTCACCCAAAGGGATTTTACAAGACCGAGAAATTCAAGATGTTGTAGTGCGGATCACGTGAGATGTAAATGCAGATAATTTTCTATGCTTTGTCCTGACTAAAGAAATTCATGATATCCTTCACTCATAGGGATTTTGCGAGACCAAGGCATGAATGATGTTGCAGAGCGGATCAATTGAGATGTAAATGCAGATGGTTTTCTATGCTTTGTCCAATCCGCTTCGAATTCCATGCCACTTGTTCTATCCCTAAAGTAGTTCTTCTTGGTTGTTCTACTCGAAGTGATTCCAGTTTGTAATTTCCCTGAACTGTTTATTTCCACACACATTGCCCAAATGCCTGCATACAACGATACTAAGTTACAGCAACCCAGTTTGTGAAAACAGAACAAGAACAAAAGAGAGTAATCAATCAAATGAGACAGGAAAACATACCAGCCAAGGCCATAGAACTGGTAAAGCGTTAGCCCCCGGTGACTTCCATTTTACTGTAGCAGATAATCACCTGCAAGAAATCTGTAAAGTACAAAGTGAATCAAATATAAGACAAGAAAATAGAACAAAAAGGCGGTATTTTCAAATTTCATATTTATGAATCTAGGAGATGTTTAATTTTATTCAAGTAGAGCTATTCAAGCAATATGGTACGTATATGCGTTGGATAAAAACAAATGTACATCTGGTAACGCTTTTTTCAAGCAACTTTTTTTAGGAAAAAAAATAAAAGCATGTTTGATTTGTTTTTTACAAAAGTGATTTATATAAATCTTAGTATATAAATGATAAATTTAAGTGTAAATCTGTGCAGCACTAACAAGTGATTCAGCATGAAGGAAAGGAGCAAGCCCAAACCCACAAACAAAAACAAAAACAAAAAAGTCAAATTCAAAATAAAGCTGATTAAAAAAGCAAAAAAAAAATAAAAAATCAAACAATACGATGGCAATACAACAAAATACTACATATATCGTGGAACTTACACATTCATGGCCGACCATCAAAGTCAACAACACCATATTTTTAAAACCCAAAAGGAAAAGTCATCACATGATTCAAATTGTTCCGCAAATGGAAGAAATGCAGTAACCAATTGAAAGGTCCAAAAATTGGCTGGATATTCAGCTAACCTCCCAAAGGGTGAATATAAATCCGCTTACCTACCACCAGCCAAACAATTACCCCCCCCCCCCCCCNACCCACCCAAAAAAAACAACTCTCCCACCAGAACAACAAAAAAAAAGGCAAAAACGGAGAATAGAAAATGGAAACTAGATCTATTTTCTCACTACATTACAACTTAATGATCAAAACTGAGAACGAAAATTGAAGAAAAATAATTGATCGCTCAAATAAACCCAGATTCGTATATTCAAAGTCGGATCTAATTTTGAAAAACTGAAACTATAAATCAACACCTTAAACAATTTCTTCAATCAAGTACTTTCTTATGGGATAATGAAACAGAAACAAAAATTACCAGAACGCAACAACGTTGACCTCTTAAGGTATGAGATAAACAGCCAGATTTAAACTATGTATGTGGTATATATATATATATACATATATATATATACATATATATATATATATATATATATATATATATATATATATATATATTGTTTAAGTTAGCCTATTAACAACAAAATATGAGACAGCAAAAACCTTTTCCCCGGAAATATTCCTCGGGTTATTTTCCTTCCAAACAAGCAATAACTACCAAAGCTTAAGAGTTTCCAGATATGGAAGCATCAAAAGCTAATAAACGTACATCAAAAACTTAAAGGGAATTCATAATAAAACAAATAGATCTCTAGCAAAGAACAATTGGCAATGGCGACGGATCTCACCCAAGACTATATACCTTAAACCATAAAAAAAATGGATTAGAGGACATAGAGACCTGAAATTTACCTGAGAAATGAAAAGCCAGTAAAGACGACTTGGAGGTGCGTGAATCGAGGTTACACAGATAGATATGGATCTGAGGATGTATATGTAGAGAGAAAGATAGCGAGAGAGAGATGTATATGGATTTGAGGACGTATATATAGCGAGACAGAGAGGGAGGGAATGACTGATTGTAAGAGTGGTGGTTCTCGTGAGCGTGGAACAGGATAAAAAGAACCAGGCTAAAGATAAAATTGAGTGAGCCTTCCCACGTCAGACACATGAGATTTCCTCCTAAACGGTAAGGATTAGGGCCCAACTCCGGCAGATTGAACGGGTTAAAGGATCAATTTTAACTCCATTTTAAGTATATAATTTTCAATTTTAACTTTAATTTTAATTTTATCTCAATTTAATTACTGTCCAAATTTAATTCAGGGGAACTCGGGTTGAATTCTGATTAAAATCGGATTGGACTTGAGTTATTTAATTTGGGTTGATTTTTTGAAGTGTAAATTTTGATTTTTTTCAAGTGTAGATCTAATTTTTTTAAGTGATCTGAGATGAAGAGAGTGGGAGCAAGAGAGAGAGGAGTGATGAGTGAAACAGGGAGGTTGAGAGTCTAAGACTCAGACAAATAACAATCAAGAGAAAGGAGTTTGAAAGATGGAAGACAAGTAACAATCAAGAGAAAGGAGGTTGAAAGATGGAAGAGTGACAAGTGAATGAAGAATTTGAGAGTTATGAAGGCGCAGAGGTAAATATTTGAAATGAAATGAAAATTTGGACTCTAAAGAGTGAAGATAAATGTTAATCCTAATTAAATATATTTATGTATATTCGGATTCAACCCGATTTAATACTCGACAATCCGAGACCTTAATTTGAGGCTTGCCCAAATTTAATTTGGGTTAGGATTTTTTTGTCCAGGTCCAACTCAAATATTAAAAATTCTATTCCAAACCCTTTTTTTTGAGCTGGGTTCGGGATGAACGGTCCATGTTGCACTCCTGGGTGAGGAAAGTTACTAAACTTATTCTTTTCCCGAAATAAAAAATAGTTAATAATATGAGTTGTAACAAAATACTCCCTCCGTTCGTAAATATCTGTCGTTTAAAGTTTTTGCACAGAGATTAAGGAAGCTATTAAATAGCTCTAATATAAGTAAAAAATAATTGCACAAGAGTAAAATATTTTTATTCACTACGTATTGGAAAGGAAAAGAATATGAAAGGCGCTTAGCCTCCACCAAATCTAATGCATTGAAAAGTTAAGGGTAAATTTGGAAGAAAAAATATTAATTATGTTTTGATTTTATTAAATGAGAGATATTATGGAACAAAAAAAAATGTGTAAAATAACAGATATTTAGGAACGGAGAGAGTATTTTAGAATAGTTTTGTAATGATTTATTTGTCAGAATTACTTACCTTCCAAAAAAAGGGTGTTTGTTGGAATTTATGTCAATGGCAAATTTTTATTTTATTGGACTAAAAATTATTGGAGTAATATTATTTAAATTTAAAAATATAATTTAATTTATTGACTTAATAATATAATTTTATTAGAATTATTGGATAACACTTAATTTTAATAATTGATGGGACTCACAATTAATACAAATATNAACAATATGGTCCAGATAGTGTACACGTAAAAAATGTAAATTAGACAGTACTAACCACTGTTGCACCATCCAAAGAAGTCTGATTTCCAGTATTCTGCTCCATCTGCAGAATTTTGATTTCTAGTTGCTTGGTCTTTGTTTCTGGCATTGTTCTTCTTGGCAAGGCCTCTTTGACAGATATTTTTGCTGTGACCAAACTGTTTACCAACACACGTTTCACCAATAGATGGTTTTTTAAATGCAGTTGAAGGACATGTTCCCCCTTATTCTCTCCTTCTGTTCTTCTTTAGCCTACCTGGAAGCCTTCTAAGGCGAGGAGGATGGAGTCTTTCAGGAAATATTTCCATCCTTGGCCACAAAGTCACGGTTGGAATGGGATGAATAATATCAGAGTATGCACTGAAATATTTTGCCTTTGAGAAGAAAGGGTCACAGTAATCCTACAGTTTTTGCCTCCTGTAAGCAATTCTAAGTGTTGCATGCCTACAAGGCGTCCCATTAATCTCCCAAACTCTACAATCACAAGTCCTATTACTCTAGTTACAAATGTAGTGAACATTATCATTATCCATCACCTCAAACTCATCCTCACCAGCCAGTAACATGTTAAATTTTCTGGATGTGGTCACAATTGCCTTCAACTTCTTAACAACAAAAGGGATCACTTCAAAATCCCGCATGCATGCTTTCTCATACCTTTTTTTGGTGCCTTCTCATTACCCTTGCCCTAAGTCCATCAAGTAATTTTAGAATTATTTGATCTCTGATGTCTGCTACCCAACTGTTGAATGATTCAGACAGACTGTTTGTGACGTGGTCATTCTTAAGTTGTGGATCAAATGCATGTCTTGCCCACATAAATTTTGGTATCTTCATTGCAGTGTTAAATGATGTACAATATATGATCTTGCTGCCTTCCAAAATTAATGCATAAGCAGTTGTCCTGAAAACAATTTCCTAAGTTCTGATATATGTGTCTACATCCACTCCTAAAAAATGCAAGGAAAATACAACCAAGTAATGGCCCTTGTTTAAAGAATTCATGTTGAAGCATCTTAAAATTTTAACAAGAATAAAAGCATAATCGGTGTGACAACTGCATAGAACAAGAAAGGTCTCCTCATTGTTAGATAACTGTTATGATATGGACTCATGATTTTTTTTGGTAGAATAGTTAAGGATTTACGAATTAGTTTATATACACCTAGATTATTTTTTTTTTCGATTTGGTCAAAGACATTAACGTTAGAACTAAACTATCTATAAGACTCAATCCCAAAAAATTATTAAAATTTAAATCCACTTTCAATTCACTTGAGTTATCTTTGAATTGGACTCATGATTCAGTGAGTGCTGTGAGCATCGTCATCCACAACCACAAACAACTGTGTGGTTGATTCAGAATCTCAGATTCAATCAAATCATCACAGCAGCCCACGAGACCTACCGATGTTACAACTAGTGAATGTTACACCTTACATTCCTTAAACAAACAGAAGTATGCAAGTCCCTAGCCATTCAATTTCAGTCACGTGTATGGTTAGTCAAGAGCCCCACAAATCTGGGACGTTGGATTCACTCCAAATATCAGATGGCGATGGACGTGGCTTTAGGCTTCAATCTGAGAGATAAGTCCGCAATGTGGCAAAGGTCGTTTGAATTCTTGATACGTTGTTGTTGGCTTTGGGTGTGGAGTTGAGTCGAAGTTGACGGCGGATGGGCCCCTTTTCATCGATCGTGGTGGGACCCACGTGAGGAAGGATTCTAGCCTTGTTAATTTGCCCTTTGGGAGGCCAAGGGACATATTTATGATTTTCTCTCTCAATAAAAATATTTAATGTATAGTGGTAGCACCATATTATACTATTGTATGGAGGGCATGAGTTTTTGGCCCAAAAAACGCGTTTAATAGGTAGAGTGNGCTTTCTAGCTATTACAAAACCCAACATCTCATCCAAAGTAGGTTCAGGTTCAGGATTCTGTCCTTGCCAGTTACAGAAAATGAATTGTATCAACAATATGGTCCAGATAGTGTACACGTAAAAAATGTAAATTAGACAGTACTAACCACTGTTGCACCATCCAAAGAAGTCTGATTTCCAGTATTCTTCTCCATCTGCAGAATTTTGATTTCTAGTTGCTTGGTCTTTGTTTCTGGCATTGTTCTNACGTATTTTAAATTTGTAATTTAAATTTGTATTTCAAATCAAAGAGAGTCATTAGATCAGTGGGTTTCATTTAAAAAAATTAATGAGATCCACTGATCTAATGATCCTCCTTAATTTGAAATATAAATTTAAGATACATAGCACTATTCTTGATTTAAAAGGGGTAATAAGATGGAGCTTTCTTCCATTTTAGATCAAAATAATTCCACAGCCAAAGATCTTAAAATTACACTAATTAGGGGAAATCAAAGGACAACATTAGGGGAGAAGTGTCCAAATTTGAATGGTGAATGGACGTAAAAACAGCCAAATGGCTGACGGAAAACAAATTGGACTTTTCTGTTGGTTGTGAAACTGGAGTTAATTTAATATGTACAATCATGAACTCACGGCCATAGTATTTAAGATAGGATTAATTATATCTAGACCCCCAAGGTTTGTTACATAACCANGGGATGTTGTTGGCTTTGGGTGTGGAGTTGAGTCGAAGTTGACGGCGGATGGGCCCCTTTTCATCGATCGTGGTGGGACCCACTTGAGGAAGGATTCTAGCCTTGTTAATTTGCCCTTTGGGAGGCCAAGGGACAGATTTATGATTTTATCTCTCAATAAGAATATTTAATGTATAGTGGTAGCACCATATTATGCTATTGTATGGAGGGCATGAGTTTTTGGCCCAAAAAACGCGTTTAATAGGTAGAGTGATGCTTTCTTTTATAGTTTTTTCCACACGCAATACCACTGAGATGTGCGAGAAACTGAAAAGACAAAGCAATAATACCCAAGAACTAGTTTATGAGTAATGATGCGTATTTTAAATTTGTAATTTAAATTTGTATCTCAAATCAAAGAGAGTCATCAGATCAGTGGGTTTCATTTAAAAAAATTAATGAGACCCACTGATCTAATGATCCTCCTTAATTTGGAATATAAATTTAAGATACATAGCACTATTCTTGATTTAAAAGGGGTAATAAGATGGAGCTTTCTTCCATTTTAGTATCAAAATAATTCCACAGCTAAAGTTCTTAAAATTACACTAATTAGGGGAAATCAAAGGACAACATTAGGGGAGAAGTGTCCAAATTTGAATGGTGAATGGACGTAAAAACAGCCAAATGGCTGACGGAAAACAAATTGGACTTTTCTGTTGGTTGTGAAACTGGAGTTAATTTAATATGTACAATCATGAACTCACGGCCATAGTATTTAAGATAGGATTAATTATATCTAGACCCCCAAGGTTTGTTACATAACCAGATAGACCCTCTTCCATTTGAAAAGTAATACTACCACCTGTGTCAATGATGGCTTGGAGAGGCAATAATGGAAAGAAACGAAACGAAAAATTTAGGGTATAGTAGCCCCCCAAATTGCAAACAGTCATACTAATTTTATGATCTCTAACAGGGAATATAATCTTATACAAATATTCAGTAGCGGATCCACAGTGGGGCAGTTGTCCCATTGGAATTTTAAAAGTTTTTG